CTGTGATGCTATCAAGGTGCTAAACCTGTCTATCCATCACCTCCCCAAGTGTCCTTGTGTTCTTTGGTGTGTGTATGGTTTTGAAAAGAATATAACATGAGGTTTACCCTCTTAATGTATTTTATTTATTTATGTATGTATGCGGGTTTTTTCAAATTTTTTTTTAACATTTATTTATTTTTGAGACAGAGAGAGAGCATGAACGGAGGAGGGTCAGAGAGAGGGAGACACAGAATCTGAAACAGGCTCCAGGCTCTGAGCAGTCAGCACAGAGCCCGATGCGGGGCTTGAACCCATATACCGCGAGATCGTGACCTGAGCCGAAGTCGGACGCTTAACCGACTGAGCCACCCAGGCGCCCCATATGCGTTTTAAAGTTTATTTTAAGAGAGAGAGAGAGAGAAAGAGAGAGAGAGTTTGAGCAGGGGAGGGGCAGAGAGAGAGAGAGAGAATCTTAAGCAGGATCTGAGCTGTCAGTTCAGAGCCTGATGTGGGGCTCGATCTTCTGAATCATGAGATCATGACCTGAGCTGAAACCAAGAGTTGGATGCTCAACCCACTGATCCATCCATGCACCCCTTATTTTTATTTTATTTTATTTTATTTTACTTTATTTTGTTTTATTTTGTTGACACAGAGAGAGAGTGTGGGTGGGGGAGAGGGGCAGAGAAAGAGAGAGAATCCCAAGCCGGCTCTATGCTCAGTGCAGAGCTAATGCAGGGCTCGATCCCACAACCCTGGGATCATGACTTGGGTACTGAAATCAAGAGTTGGATGCTCAACTGACTGAGGCCCCCAGGGGCCCTCCCCCTTAATGTATTTTAAGACACATGATACCGTATTGTTAACTGTAAGTATTCCGTGTGCCAAGCGTGGGGCTAAGTGATGGGGCTGCAAATGGTCTCAGCTCTCAAGAGGCTTCTGGAATCATAGGTGCATGATTGGAGTCCATAAGGAAGCGTGGAGCTGTGGGTCAGCGGTATCCCTCTGACCCTGTCTAGGGGGCGTAGCTTATCTAACAGATGCAGCAACCCTCACTGATAAAGTGACTGTCACCGACCCAGTAACCCGCACTGATGCTTTGGGCTCTTGGGTCTTTCCCTGTCTCAGCTCCAGCACCTACAGATGGCATGAAGGGGCCTTGCAGAAATGGAATCAGGGCCCAGACCTGTTCAGACTCCTTAGGGATGATGAGGTCGCAAATGGCCAGTCCCCGCCCACGGATGGGGTCCCTGCTGCAATGCTTTCACCATATTTCTTAAAATGCAAGCATATCCTTCCCCTACTGTCTCCCTGGAGAACAGATTTCTTTCTGACAGTGTCTGATGTGTGCATTTTACACTCTGTGTCACACTGGCAGCTTTCCAGGCCTGTGATCTCAGGGGATGTTTGAGGCCCTGGAGAGGCCAGTGGTCTCTGTTCCCTTTGCAGTCTGGAACTGGAAGGGATTACTGAGGTGGGGAAGGCTGAGAGCTGCTGTTACCATGGACACGGTGGCCGTGGGGACCGGAAACCACCGACTAGCCACAGAGAAGAGCCTTGAACTCCATTGTCACGGGTGCCATGGGGGGCCCTGGGTGGAGGGGCATGAGCTGGGGCCCCAGGCAGGTTCGAGAAGGAGGCAAAAGGAACTGAGGGCTTGGAGACAGGGGCCCCGGAGTCCTGCCCAGGGCCACACTGAGTGGGCTATGTTATTGCGGAGCCCAGAAAGGGCCTGGGGGCTGTCACACGGGGCTTCTCCAACACTGTGTCTGGGTTGTGTTACCTTGATGTGAACTCCCAGGATACCTTTGAAGGAAGGGGAGGAAGAAATTGCCCGAGTTGCCTGATTGAGGAACGTGGGGACGTGGGGGTCCTCCAACCCCATGTCGACAGTGGAGGATTCTTGTCCCTGCCGTCCTTCAAGAGCTGAGAGGCCCTCAGGGGGGTGGATCACTTGGAGGTCATCGTAACCACCCGTACCTGAGAGGGTCTCACATCACTGGGGCAGCGGGTAGTGAGGGGTGGGGTGGCGCAGGTGGGTTTCTGGGGTCCGCTCAGGGGTCCGAGGAGTCTAGCACCAGCCTTCGTCCCCCTCGCCTCATCTCGTGCTGAGTAGTCTTGGGAGGAAGCCTGGTTCGCCGGGGTTATGTGTAGATTCATTCACATCCAAGGCTGTTGAGGCATTCTGTGGGTGGAGTCATTCATCCAGCACGCACGTTGGGCTTCTGCTCCGTGGAGGTGCCACGGGAGGCTGGCTGTGCCGTGGACACTGACAGGGGAGCAGGTCCTCCTGGGTGTCTGTGTGAACACACCCACGATGATGAACAGGTGTCACAGGTGAGGGTCTTTATGGTGATGGAACTGTCCTGTATCTGCACTGTGGTGGCCACAGGGGTCTGCACATGTGGTGAAATTGTGTAGAACCACATATACGCGCACAGAGAGATGCAGACACACACGCATGCACAGGGACACGCATGCGCACAGATGCATGCACGTATGTGCACACACACATACTCATATGCAGACATATACTCTCCATCACACACACAGACACACACACGAGCGTATGGAGAAGCCGGTGAAATCTTCTCATGCCTGTAGATCACAGCAGTGTTAATTTTCTGCATCGGGTTTTCTACTATGGTTGTGTAAGATGTTGTCATCGGAGGGAACTGGGGCCAGGGTCTGTTGGAACCTGTGTGTTGTTTCTGCAAACTGCTGTGGGCTTGTAATTATGTCACACGTGAGTATAATAGTTCGACATTTAACACCTTCTTTAACATTTAATAAATGTCTCTTAATTCACTCTAATTTATATTAAAAATAAATTAAGTTAAATTTAATAAATTTATATAAATATAAATAGCGATCAACAAATGCCTGCACTGATGGCTTAAATATTTAAAGCACATTCTAGTAAAGTTTTTAGATGATTTCTGTTCCCTAATTATGAAAAAAATAAATGAGCAAGGGAGCACAAAATCAACCAGAGAATGGCAGGTTTCCATGAGCACAAAGGAGCAGGTCACTAGGTGCTGGATGGATGAGGCAGGAAGGTGTGATCAGGGCTGTCTCACACCAGGTGTAGAGGGGAGGCAGGCTGGGGCATGGTCTCACCACACCAGGCGTAGAGGGGAGGCGGGCTGGGGCATGGTCTCACCACA